AATTCTCTTTGTTTGGTATTGGATACTCTAGAACCACATCTTCATGTTCTGAATCTTTGTATCTGCATTATTTAAAATAGCTGAAGCCACACTCTATTCGGGAGAAATTTAAATTTTTTACTTTTTTAAATTTTTTCAAACTTTTATCTTTCAAAATAATTAACAATAATATCATTAATATTTGAGTCATCATCTTTTGATAATTTTTGAAAGATAGCATTCCAACGTGGCATGAAATGCATATTTTAAATTGTTAGATATACATTTATCCGTTGAAGACAATTATTTACCAATGCTAGAAACAATGACTTTGGAATATATTGCTTACTTGTATTACGATTTTGCGTTTAAACAAAATCTCCAACTTTGTTTGAAAGGCCGGAAAAAGCATATATCTAGTGGTTGAGTTAAATGAGTTGAATTGTTTGGGTAAACATACAAAATTAATATCAGAATCCTCACACTGTTGAACTATTTCCGGATTGATGCTAGACTGCTCCTATTAATACTTTGCGCACAATCAAACTGTTTACATGAGGCTAAAATATAGTGAAAAACCATTATTTGAAAGTGATTCCATCTGTTCATTCACGTAGTGTACAATTATACCTGGTTTCTTTTGAGCAGAAAGGACTCTCACAGCATGGAGATCCTTTGGATCCTTTATTTTTCCAAGACTCCCACAATTATGTATGCTGGTAATAGAATACAATTTGCTTACCCACATATCATCGTTGTGGTGGCACCATGGATATAGATACTAACTATGACTACGCAACGAGCAAGGATATGATGGCTCTGAATATTCTTATCAAAAATTAAAAAAAAATTGTGTCATACTAGCGCCTCTATATTGTATAGGTAATTAATGCACAACATAAATGTTTATAAGTCMCTTGCTTTTTTGAGATTCCATGTAACAATTATCATATTTTAGAATAAATTAAAGATTTATATTTATTTGTTAATAATATTATGATTATTAWGGTAACATGGAATAACAGTTCTATAATAATGACTGT